CCCACTTGTAACTTGCCTACAAAAACCCTAAGTGTTTGCAGTAGACAACAAAGACTCTTGCAGCATATTCAATTCGCCAACACAACATAAAAAAAAACACAAAATCCACCAACCTCTCATTGCCAGCATTTTAGGTGCCTTCCTCCCCAATTCGGGGCTCAATGATGATAAATCCAACTAGCCGAACCTTGTTGGAGCCAGATGAGGCAAGCTCTATAAGGATTTAGAGGTTACTGACACTTTGACATTCCTCTTGTTTTCCTTAGTACAAATCCAAAAAGATCTTTAGCTAAAGAACATGTACCGAGCAATAGGTCATGGTCTGCCGTTGGACTAGCCTTTGCCTTGTAATAATAATATATTCCTAAGCACGCAATGTCACGGAAATATCTTTCCTCTCCTGATTAAATAATATAAACGGATCTCACAAACAGAATACAGTCCAAATAGCAGTCGTGAAGGAAAAAATACACCAACTTACTAAACCAGTTAAGTGTGACATAGATGATGGGAATATGTACCTTGGCAGTAGGGTTCACTGGTAGGCGGGGAAAACGATAATATATTAATCCACGAGGCAGCAGTTTCCCCGGCTATTAATATATTATCTTTAGCCTTTCCACAAAAAGAAATTATATGCAGATTCCAAACATGTGCTCCCTCCGTCTCAAAATTCTTGTTTTAGATTTGTCTAAATACAGATGTATCAAGTCACGTTTTAGTATTGGATACATCCGTGTCTAGACTAATCTAAGACAAGAATTTTGGGACGAAGGGAGTATGTATGAAAGTTCAACGGATGCATCATGTGTAGTATGATCAGTGCCCATCATCCTCATCTTGCCTCCCACGTGATCGATTGTGAAAAATTGCGTGAACTGGGGTGTGATAATCATATGAGTTGCATGCTCAGGACTTATAAATGCGACCAGTTTCCAGCCCTGGCCGGTCATCTGTATGATTAGCTAGTGAGTATTGCTGAGCCTTGTTTGGGAAGCGAAATGCAGTTGAAGCTTTGCTGCGTGTGTACCTTTACTAGTGGAGTAGTGGTCTCTATAAACTGAGATACTGGAGTAAATCAAACCCAAAATTTGTTGAGCTGTACTACCCTCCCGTCGCCATGGTCTTTGGAAGCCATGTCGTGGATTGTTGGCTATTTGTTAAGCTGTACTACCCTTCCATCGCCATGGTCCTTGGAAGCCATGCGGCAGCTTATGGTATGTTGAGAGGAGACGAAGGTGCAAGAGGCGATGCCCCAATAATGCTAATTTG